GTATTCACTATTGTATCACAAGAGACCCGTCTGCGTTTCATTTCATCAGCCCCACCTTGGCATGTACTTTTAAAACATTCACAGATATTTTAATAATATTAACTAATATTAGAAAATTGTTAATACTTCCATTCTTTCATTTTAATGAAAGGTCTTGGACTTAAAAGAACAGCTAGAAGAAGTTAAAGATAATTTAGAGAGTAAAAACAAGGAAATAATACAGCTGACCTTAAAACTAGATGCACAGGCCCACCACACTGCCTCCAGCCTCAAAGAACTTCAAGAGGAGAATGCCCACTTGAAGGTGAGCTATAAAATACTCTGTGAAACATGGGTTTGTGTGTTCTATGAATACACGACTGACTGTAGATAGTCCATCATGGGAGAGACAGAACCCTGAGTAGTTCCCAGATGAGCATTATCCTCATCCCTGGAGACCTGGCCATTCATCCTCGCAATACCTGACTTTACTCTGAGATTGGCGGCTGGGGCACTGTTTTTCGATCAGTGAACATCATCTGCTCTACCTCCTCCACAAAATACCACTCTGTTTGCTGCTCTGATAAATGTGTGGGATTAAAATGCCAGGAGAGGCATTTCTTAATGGCAACATTGTAGGAGGAAATAAATTGCAACTGTGAACCTCGGATTAGTTTAGGCCAGGATGGGAACTTTTAAAAATAAATGGTTGCTCACTGTTATCCTTCCCAGCAGCATGATTTTTTAAAATCTTATTTTAAAATATTTTAAAGTAATTGCTTTTGAAGGAAAAAAGCAATGTATATGTTGGCGACAAACATTTAAAGTTGTAAAGAAATTATATCTTTAAAGAGGTGTCCTTAAATTTAGTTTAAAATCACTGTGTGTCGTGCCACCTTGGCACAGGTTTGATGAATAAATAATATTGAGAGACATTTTAGGGTGTGTCTTTATTAACCATCAGACCCACACACAGGCCAGGCCATATGTGCACGATTTTAAAGTGTCTCCGATGAAAACGAAGTTTGAAGCCAAGCTACCCTAGTAACCAGTAGTCCTTTTGTGGAAATTCTTTTAAGTAGCAGATGAGAAGCAGATTAGAGAGCACCTTATTTATATTGGTGATTGCTCTGAAACAAATTGTCTGGAGAAATACTGTAACTGATGAGTGATTATATTAAAAACTGTAGGCTTATATATTTCACATATATACTGTTGGGGGAATTTATCACACGATATATCTTCGATGGCTTTATCACCATCATTATCATTATTTCCACAGGCATTTCTGCAGAAAAAAGAAGAGGAGATAATGTCTGTGAAGGAGCAGCTGGAGGCGCAGCTTGGTGGGTTGGGAGAATCTGCGGACCTTGAGGTGAGGCCCTTTTCTGACATGCGGACATAGGCATGACATCATATTCTCCTGGTAGGAAGTGTGTACATGGAATCACAGGGTTTATGGGTTTTCTAGGGGACAGTGGTCCCTCTCCTCAGACAGTTTATACTATTCCCATAAATTTTGGAGGAGGATGTAAGGATGAAAGGAAGACTGTAGGGCCAAAAAGCAGTTTCTCACTTCTCAAAATTTCTACTACCAGAGGCTATAGGGGTGTTAATTAATCTGCTATTCTGTATATTTGGCCAATTTGAAAATTGTTTCATGTCTCTTCTTTATCAGTGAGGTGGTGCCATATACTATTGCAGGTTATTGATGAATCTTCTTTCATTTCTGATGATGAATTCTTCACAAAGTCCAGTTTCTTAGATTATTTGCTCAGGTTGAATAATTATAATGAAAGGATTCAACACTGATTCACACCTCTCCTGAGTTTAAACCATACAGGATTTCCTTATGTTGTTTGAGAGACTGCTTCTTGGTCCATGTCCAGTGTCCACATGAGCACAGTGACGTGTTCTGGAAGTCCCATTCTTTGCATTGTTGTGCATACTTTGTTATGAGCCACACCATTGTGTATGCCCTTGCATGGTCAATAAAACAGAGGTAAACATCTTTCTGATATTCTCTGCTTTCAGTCAGTATCCATTTAGCAATACCTAATCCTTCTGATCCATCTTTGCAATAGGAAAGAGAGGCATTAAAGGAAGAGCAGGTGAATCACTTGATTCTGGTGTCTGAATTGCAGACTGAACTGGAGGAAGCCAAATGCCGTGGGCCTCCTAGAGGCAGCCTTGCTGGGGGAGTAGAAGCACAACCAGAGATGGTACCAGAGGAGCTCCCACAACACACAACAGAGGCAAGTGAGGGGGCGCCCGACTCTGCTGCTCAGGTGGACATAGAACTGGTGGACCATGAACACCATGTGCTCTTTGTGATAAATGTTTTTGGCATGTACTTTTTAAAAAATGTTTTATTGTGAATTATATGATAGTTTACATGGGAGAACATTAGTTTTACATTCATTC